GAGAGCAAAAGAGAGAACGACAGCAGGGCCACGAAGGGCACGAAGTAGGCCACGAAGGGCGACAGCGGGGACACGAAGGGAATGCGTGTATGGGGCCACGAAAAGCGCGAACAAGCGGGGGTCACGAAGGGCAGATAATGCGGAGCCACAAAAGGCAACGACGGGGCCACTGAGGATAGCAACTGGGCCACGTAGGACAGCGAGGGGGCCACAAAGGGCGACAGCGGGGCCACGAAGGGCATGCACATGGGGCCACGATGGGCGCGAACGAGCGGGGGCCACGATGGGCATACGTATACTGGGCCGCGGAGGGCAAAGACGGGGCCAGTGAGGGCAACAACGGGGCCACGAAGGGCAGCGAAGGGGCCACGAAGTGCGACAGCGGGGCCGCGAAGGGCATACATATGGGCCACGATGGGCGCGAACGAGCGGGGGCCACGAAGGGCATACATCTATGGGGCCACGAAGGGCAGCGAGGGGGCCACGAAGTGCTGCAACGGGGCCACGAAGGGCAGCGAAGGGGCCACGAAGGGCTGCAACGGGGCCACGACGGGCAGCGAGGGGACCACGAAGGGCTGCAACGGGGCCACGAAGGGCAGCGAGGGGGCAACGAAGGGCTGCAACGGGGCCACGAGACAAAGCGAAGAGGCCAAGAAAGGCTGCAACGGAGCCACGAAGGGCAGCGAGGGGGCCACGAAGGGCTGCAACGGGGCCACGACGGGCAGCGAGGGGGCCACGAAGGGCTGCAACGGGGCCACGAACGGCAGCGAGGGGGCCACGAAGGGCTGCAACGGGGCCACGCAGGGCAGCGAGGGGGCCACGAAAGGCTGCAACGGGGCCACGTAGGGCAGCGAGATCCGGATTCTTAAGCAGTCTGTAGCAATCTGTGAAAGATTCCTAAGCGTGACCGCGAGTCCTGGGTGCAATGTCGGGAACGTGGCGCTTGAGTAAATTCCGGAAACATCCAACGCAAGGGCGCTATTTTTGAACTGTGTTCAAGCAAGGATCCAGCGACAGCGAGACTCGGGAACGCCGAGAGAGCGATTCCTGAATGAATTGCAAGGAAGTCCCAAGCGAGAGCGCGACTCCCGAATAAAATGCGACCACGCATCGGGCGGGAGCGGGGGTCCTGGCTAAATTGTGACGAAATCACAAGCGGGAGCCGTTGCTGTTGTTGTACCCAGAGCCAACAACATAGTATGAGGGCGAAGACCTTCCCTGTTAAAAACAAGGCGCGAGCGCCAAGAGGGGCACTTCAATTGAAAAATACAACGTGCACTGGAGGGGGGATCACCAGTAAATGTTCTTCGGCAATGAGACTTCAACAACAACAACAACAAGAACAACAACAACAACAACAACAACAACAACAACAACAACAACAAAAACAACAAAAACAACAACAACAGCAGCAGCAGCAGCAACAACAACAACAACAACAACAACAACAACAACAACAACAACAACAATCATTTTACCCGAACGCTCAGTGTTCTCCCCAGTGCCAGGGTTTTCTTGCGACACCAGCCAATACCCCCACTTCGTGGGGGGGCCGTTCAAGCTCTACCAAATATCCAAACGACTCTTCGAGACCACCCACACCCAGCTTCCCGCCCTATGACGTTGGGACACTTCACTTCGTGGCGTGCGGACGACCCTGGCTACTACACTGGCGTGGGGTACACACCCACAGAGGTTGATCACATCTGTTACATATGATGTGGTACACGGTACACGTGAGATGGTACGCAGTGCCAAGATAGTTGGTCACATTTTTGGGGCAAATTCGTGGGGATGCGATTACAGAAGTACATGTGTTACACTGATGTTATACAGTCCCAAGGATGACGCATGCATTGCTCATAGACTCATGGCGCTATGATCCTAACTCTCAGTGCCCAACGCGCGCGTGCACAGCCAGACGGAGGGAGAGAAACACATGTATACAAGGTTCGTGACATACGCACGGTCCACCATGTTGTAAACGATCGCCGCGAATGGATTTCGAGATTTTCCGGATGAGAAAGTAGTGCGTTTTCATATGTTTTCTGAACATCGCATCTTGAAATTATTGAAAAGCCATTGTGTTTGGCAGGATTTCGACATGCGCGCGCGGCGGCCGCGCGCATGTGCACTTCGTCTCATTTTTTGCAAGGGATGGTGGCCCTCGCAGGCGCGCAACCGTTGTTGGAGAAGTTCAAAGCACCTGAAGAAGTAGCACGCAAAGACCCTTTTGACAGAAATGTTTAAAAAGTGGTGTGTTTCCTATGAATCCGCAAGAGCGCGCGGAAGGACATTTTGACAATTTTTTCTTAAAAAACCATTGGGTTTTTGATGTTTTTATGTTAAAATCGCTACGAAACCTAAGGTTTTGGAAGGATTTCGTCTTGCGCGCACGAATGTCCACTTTACCTTATTTTTTGCAAGGGATTCTTGCAATTTGATCAAGTAAAAACAAGAATTTTCATTTTCTATTGTTTTTTGCAAGGGAAAACGAGCGTCAACAAAAAACCGGATCCGGAGCTCATCCACTTTTCTGAAGCTTTCGCGAAAAAATGATGAAAATGTAGCTGCGGCCTAGGCGCGGCGCAGAGGTCGCGCACCAGGGGTCCCAACAATAATAATTCTTTAGAAGGAATAATGTTCAACAACAACAACAACAACAACAACAACAACCACAACCACAACCACAACAACAACAACAACAACAACAACAACAATAATTACAACAACAACAACAACAACAACAACATCAACAACCAAAGTAACAACAAGAACAACACCAGGGAGCCCGGCGAGGGACCCTGCCATCCGCTGACGCGAGCACTGCAATCGCGAGCACCATCTCTGGCGGAGCTCTTCACCGGGGCGCGAGACGCGCGAGGGCGCGCCAAGGTGGGGCGGCGCGGCCCGCGGGCGCTGCCACTGGAGCCAGCGACAGAGCTTCCCATAATTTTCGACGCGGCGCCCCCTGTCCGCGATATGTTCGACGGGGGCGCTCGAGGAAAGCTGAACCGTCCAAGACGGCCACCCCCTCCGTCTCCCCCTTTGCCCGCGCGCTTCAAAATCCGAGGCCGGCGCAGCGCAGCGCGGAGCCCCCGCGACGCGCGACGGTCGGCCCGAAGGGGCCCCAGCGAGTCGCCCGCTGCGCTGAGCAACGAGAGCTAGCTGACTGACCGATAGCGGGCAAGGCCCCGGCCTCGGGGCAGAGCGACGACGGGCGAGGGAGGCGTCGAGCAGAGCGCGGCACGGTTTTCCCGCGACGCGCGCTGGTCGGTGGATTGCAGCGACGCGCGCGGGTCGCCCGCGGTGCGAGGCCAAACTGTCGAACAATCGAAGGAAGGCGCTGCTCGGGGGAGCCAGCTCCCCAGGTCAGGCCTCGCGGATAAACTCGGGCTCCTGCACCGTTTCGCGCGCGCCGCAAAACGCACCAGCTGCTTCCGCATGCCCTCCGGCGGCCCTGCCAGGAAGAACCCGATGCGCGGCGCCCGCGTGAGCAAGAGGTCCTCGCGGCGCGTGGCTCGCGATAACAGCACAGAAACCTCCAGCCACCAGTCGTCGCCCTCCTTCTTGCCAATCCCGACTTCGTGGCGGCCGCATTGCATGATCACGCCTGGGCGAAATCGGCCGAAGGACCAGTGCGCCGGACAGCCGACGGCCCAGGGCGAGAGTCCATGAACATGCGGTGGGCGGGGCGGGCGCATGTGGAGCTTGTATTGGAGGCCTTCGGCCACGAACCGTGTGAGAGGTATGCCGAAATTGCCATGCGGCGGGCGGAAAACCGAGTGCGGATTTTGCCACCGGGGCCGTCAGTGGAGCCCCCGATGGGGCCACGACCCGTGTGAGGAGGGTGCCAACATGGACATGCGACGGGCGGGGTGGGCGCATGTGGAGTTTGCCTCTGGGGTCGGCACAACTCCCTATGGGGCCATAAACCGTGTGAAGGGTGTGCCGACACGGACATGCGGAAGGTGCGGCGGGCGCATGTAGACTTTGTATTGGGGGCCTTCGGCCCAACTCCCTGTGGGGCCACGAACCGTGTGAGGGGTGTGCCGAGACGGACATGCGGCGGGCGAAGAACCGAATGCGGATTTTGCCACTGGGGCCGTCGGTGGAGCCCCCAATGGGGCCACGAACCGTGTGAGGAAACTGCTGACATGGACATGCGACGGGCGGGGTGGGCGCATGTGGAGTTTGCCTCTGGGGTCGGCACTACTCCCTATGGGGCCACAAACCGTGTGAAGGGTGTGCCGACATGGACATGCGGACGGTGGGGCGGGCGCATGTGGACTTTGCATTGGTTGGGGGCCTTCGGTGGAGCTCCCTATGGAGCCACGAACCGTGTGAGGGGTGTGCTGAAATGGACTTGCGAAGGCGGGGTGGACGCATGTGTGTGCCGAGATGGACATGCGGCGGGCGGGGTGGGCGCATGTGGACTCTGCCACTGGGGTTTCGGTGGAGTTCCCTACCGGGGCACCATCCGTGTGAGGGTTGTGCCGACATGGACATGCGGCGGGCGGGGTGGGCGCATGTGGACTCTGCCTCTAGGGCCTTCGGTGGAACTGCGCATGGGGCCACAAAGCCGTGTGAAGGGTGTGCCGGAATGGTTGGTGGACATGCGGAGGGGAGAAGCCAGGATGAGAGGAGGGAGGAAGCGAGAGGAAGGAGGCGGGAGAAAGACGCGAGGCGCTGATTTTTTCAAAACAAAGACCCAACACCACAGGGTGGCTGGAAAAAGCATTGCGAAAATGATCCATGCAACAAATTGCAACTACAAAAAAAAGGGAACGAGAGAAAGAGAGAAAGGGAGGGCGAAACAAACGCCGCTGAATAGCGGCCGAGGCGCCGAGAAAGGCGAGGAAAGACGTGGAAGACGCGGAGGAAGAGGGGGGAGGACGAGGGAGGACGAGGAAGGACGAGGCAGCACGAGGGATGGAAGGCGCACAGAGAAGGACGGGCGAATCAGCCAGCCGCGGCAGGACGGACAAAGCAGCGGGCACCTGCCAGGGCCCCTCGGGCGGCGGCTCTGCGGGGGGCGGCACGGTCAGGGCCTCCACGGGGGGCGCCCAGCGGCTGCGCGGCTGGAGCCCGGCCCCCCTCCGCCGACTGCATCGACGTCCTCGACCTCTTCGACGCCCCTCTCTTCGGCGACCCTCCTCCTCCTCCTCCGCCTATGCCTCGTCCGCGTCCCCCTCCTCCTCCTCCTCCTCCTCCTCCTCCTCCTCCTCCTCCTCCTCCTCCTCCTCCTCGTCCTTTTCCTCCTCCTCCTCCTCCTCCTCCTCCTCCTCCTCCTCTTGCTCCTCCCCCTCCTCTTCTTCCCCCTCCTCATCCGCCCCCTCCTCCTGAAGTTATTTACCAGAGGGACGGGATCCTCAGCAAATGTGGACTGCGAGTATGATGCACTATTGGTCTCACCCCCGCTATGGACTCATCGCATCGGCATGGCGGTGAAATCTGGCAAGGTGGTATATAAATGCGCATGCTACGCCGAAGTAGACGGGAGGTGATGACACGGGGACGACCCGGCACGCGCGCCCCTCTTCCCACGCAATCGCAGGCTCGCGGTGCCTGCTTGATCTGATACGCAGCTGCGGAAGCACAATATAGCGCAACAGCAGCGGGCGGCGGCGGCGGCACAGAGACGGCAAGAGAAGATACTCAACAACTCCCCCCGCAGCGGGATGCGTAGGCCCATGACTACGGCCCCACATCGGAACTCAACGGGCCCCCGGCACCCCCGGGCACCTTGGCCCCCCCCCGGCGCCGGCCCCAAAAAAGTTCTACGGCGCCGAGGGCGGGGCGTCGACGCCACCGTTGGCGCTCCCTTGACGAGGGCCAAAGCAGACCGCCGAATCCGACACCCGAACAGCGCACCGCATCAAAAATGAACGCTCGCGTTCTGGATCTGAAATTTTGTCGCGATCTTTTCGAGCAGGTAGAAGCAGCACTGGTCGAACCAGTCCCGTCTCCTGCACTGCATCTACCATCGGCGGAAGTACCCGGTGTAGTCGCGGGCGTGCCAATACTGTCACCTCTGTTCATTGTCATTGAAAGCCCAATGGTTTCCGCTCCTGGCATGATAATGCTGGGATGCGCCCCAGTTGCTAGCACCCGCAGCATCACAGTTCCTGCGATCCTGAGCCAACTCGGCGTTGGCGTACATGTGCTCCATCGGCAGAAATGGAACGCGCCCGAAGTCTCGCCCGCAACCCATATGCTTCGCCACGCGCATAATCGGCCCAACCCCCGCGTCTCGGGACAGCGGGAGGGCGCGGCGTCAAGTCCTCGGCGCGCGCGAACAGCGACCCTGGCTCCTTGGCGCCGTCGGCGGCGCAGGCAACGCGGAGCGACGCGGCGGCTGCCCAAGAGGCGAAGCCAGCCGGAGGTCCGCCCATCAGCGGCCGCAGCACGTGGCGCATGCAGCAGCGCAGCAGCATTTTGAGAGACAGGTTGTTGGTCACCGGCTGAGCCGGCGGCCTCACTAGCTGCAGGCTCTGCGCCCACTGCCCCCCAAGGCCCGGCATGAGTGGCACCGCCCGCTGAGCCGGCAGCGTCTTCCGCGGCACTCGTCGACCCGAGCGCACCATCCGCGGGCACCCCGCCGCCTTGCATCGCTGGCACTGCATAAACAGCACTAGGCGAGCGCTGAACTTAAGAGCCAGTATGAACCTAAACCTCTGCAATAGCCGCAGCAACTTGCATTCGGGTCCTCCGCGCTGCTTGCGCGCTCGCAAGATTTGGGATGCAACCGCGGCGGCATTCCGATCATGCTCGGCAATCAATCCGCATCCAAAATACGGCGCGATCGCTAGCAAACTCTTCGCCCCATTCAAGCTGGCCCTCGAATTCGACGACGCAGGCCTGAATCAGTCGCGAGGCGTTCCGCATCTTGGGTCGCAGGCAGAACCGTAAATCCCCCAGGTGTTGCTCTACCAGATCTGAGCTGTCGACCGCCGCTCTTATCTCTGCATCCAATGTATAGGCACATCTCTCCAACTATGTCCGGGGCAATGCCCCGGTCCGAATGAATCTTCCGAATCAACCGGCCCGTCCGGGAAACCCACGCGCCCTTGTCCTGCAACGTGCCGCAGTGGAGTCAGCAGACAAATACACTGGGTATCGAGATCGAGTCTCAACGCACTTTCCTTCTTCAGGATCGCCCCCCACCGTTTGGCCCATGGCGATGCTCGCCTCTGCGTGCGCAAGATTGACCAGAAACTGACCACATTTGCCGCCCCCGTCGCCGCGCGATTCTAAAGCGCGCCAGCCGCGGGTCGTTGAACGCCCTGCGGATCTGGACCCATCGGAGGCACGTCTCTCCCACACACGGTGGCTCAATCGGGCCCCGGGCCCGTCGAAACATCTGCTCGTCTCCGATTTCGACGCGCGACGAGGGCGGCCCCGCAATCCCTTCACGCCCGCTGCCGGGCAACCCGCCAACAAATCAAGCGCAAGCGATATCAGAGCCTCGCCCACCTAATCTGTCTGGCCCGCTGATGAACACATCTCCGCCAGCCAGGCGGCAGCGGGAACGTCGGTTCCATCCGCCATCAACTGCCCCCCACATCCCCCGCCCTTCTACGGGAAGACCCCGGCCATCCTCGACTCCTGCCGAGGCGACAACAACCAGTGGACAACGCGAAGTCGGCGCGGCGGCTCGGTCCATCTGTTGCGAGAGAGCGGACCACCGATCAGCAGCCTTCGCGCCCCCCCCCCCCCCATGCGTTATGTTCCAAGAACCTCCTGTTGATGGGGCCCCAGGCAACGGAAGTCTGGATCGTGGCGCACGGGCGGCTTGTCAAGAGCAATATCAGCCCTCCACGATGGAACAGATCCGGACCATGAGCCGCGCCGCCCCCTCCTGAATACATCGCCTCTCATGTCTGTCGTACTCCTGAAACTTGAAATTAGCAGTCATCGAAGAGTTCCCCTGCAACAAACACCTTCTTGCGATCGCCAAGGTTTCGTTTCCTGGACATGTATCGCGGGACATGGCCTCTGCAGACCGAAATCAATCCTGGCGATCGACAACGGCTCACGATGCGCACGCGGATTCTGGAGCCTCGAAACAGTCGTCTTGCAAGGGGGGGAATAACCAAATCCCGAACAAAAACTATGCAAGTTCGTGCAGGCATATCGCCCATCATCAGCCCATGGATCGCCCATATTACACGGCTCGCGCTCTGCCTCTTGGACTGCGTCATCGTCACCGACCGGGCGGAACTGTTCGCCCGAGTCTAGGTAAGCTATAACCCGATCAGGGTCAAAAGCGATCTCTAGGTTGACCCAAGTATGATCGAACGGCTTAGTCCAGAACGCCCCTGGAACCTCTCCGTCGCGTTGGAAAACTCATTTGGGTCTCTGCTTGGAAAGTCATGTTGTCACTCTGAAACTGTCGTTCAAATGCACTGTATCGTGGAGAACCCATGCTCTCCCACTATATGTTGTGCTGCGGGTATACGGTCCCAATTTGCCAGCTATCGCTGGGTCCAGTTGCCTTAACCTATGTGCAGTTGATGAAGGTGGACCGCCATCAACGAATTGCCCCCACGAGCTGAGCAAGTGGGGGATCACGCCGTTATTAAACCTCGGACGAAACATACTTCATCGCGGGGAGCATCCTCGACAAATAGTCAGGACTTTCAAACAACCCCCCATTCTTCTCAAGATAACATGTGTCTCCCACTTGCGATTGGAGCACAACTTTTTTTGCTGCGACATGCAACAGCGAGCCGTGAGATGATGACATGATGATGTCAATCATATGGCACAAGCATTCGCTCTATGTCTATGATGCGACTGGAATAACACTGGGTGGCCTGGACCAAGACGGGGAAAGGGACATGCTCGAAAGTCCTCCATAATGCGTAATGTTGCAAATGTTTGCTCTCATGTGCCTGGGCCCAAAACTTCCGCATGTCTTTGCTAAGCCAATCATAATCACTTGCCCGGGTACCCATAATCGGAAGACAAGCCGGCGATAGCAACAGTATCCCGTGCATCGCCAGAGCCACAATCTGGCGGTCGAAACTAGCCGTGGATTGTACACAGAATGTCGCTCAGTAAACACCATCCCCGCGAATTACTAACATGGCAAGAACAGTGTCTGAAAAGATACACTATTAGGTTTCCAATGGTCTTGGCCTTATTGCTCTCCCTTTCGCTGAGCGTTGCCCACAAGCTCTTCCGTGCCCATTCCCCTTTTATTGGGGGATAGGCAAGGATCGAGTGAGATCAGGTCCGCCAGCTTGTCGTACCTACCGTCGTCAATAACATCGTCGGAGTCGCATTTTGCTCGTATGTATCGAAACGCTATCTGGAATTTCTCTCTCAAGCAAGCTTTCAGCAATGCGACAATGGGTCCTAAGAAAAACGGGCTGTATTATGCAACGTTTGGAACGTAATATTCCTGATGGCAGCAAGTTCGGTAGATACAGGCCCAGCACAATGTGCCCAACCAACGTCTATTCTTATGTGGTTCGGGGTCGCTTTGATCGCTGTGTCATTCTTCTGGAGTCCATGCCTTCTTTTCGTGGTGGCCATCAAAGGATGGTAGATGCGAGGTCCCTCTCCACGCTTGACAACCATTCCCGGGGGCCGCAGACCCGCCGCCAGGGGCGTCGGAGGCGCCGACGCTGCAGAAAGATTCAGGGCAGCACCACCCTCCCACAACCATGTCATTTGCATCTTCGGCTGGTATGTCAGCCGGGTCCGCAAATTTAGGTATCGGGGCATCCGCTGCAGGGCCAGGTACAAACACGGTTGAACCAGCGTCGCCCCCCTCATCCACAGCCATTGGCCCCAGGCAGCACCAGATTCTTCATGAATATTGGAAGCTGAACTCGGGGCGCCTGCAGATGCAGATGCCCCCATGTCCACATCCCCTTCATCCTTTCGGGCGTTAGGTGAGAAATTGGCCCCCTCTTCGGACAAGCTTTGGATGCCTACCAGCACGAGCCTTTCAAAGTTCATGTGTTCTTTGCTTGGAACATCATCGTGCAAATACGTAGGATCTCCTTTTCCCCATATCGCCGATGGCCTTCATGAATCTCTTTTTATCGAATTGTAAGGATTTGGCAAAAAAAAAAAAAAAAAAAAAAAAAACAATTTCCTCCTGTTGTATCAGTCGGGAATTGCAACTTCCACACTGCCCCGAGATCCTTCATTATGGAGGCCGTTTGCTCAAGTACACTTGAATGGTTTTCCCAGAGGTCCCGAGTGTCAGCCGCATGTGGCAATATCGATGGCGAGCTAACCGCTTGCCCTGCCACTGCCAGCTGGACCTTCTTCGGACTCCCTATAGTTCCCGCACTTGAGACCACACTACCAACCCTGGTTGAACCGGGACCAATGGCATTTTCCACAATGACAACTGTTGATCCTCCCCCCGCATCCGGAACAGCACGTTATCCCGTTAAACGAGTGGCGGGCATTGACGGGGCCGATTCATCCTTAGATGCGCCGGCGTTACTGCAAACGTTGGGTGGACATGCCGGCGGAGGAGTCATAGGGCCAAATGACGTGCCCACGCATGTACGGATGCCAGTAGGATGCGCTTTATAGTCAGGCTTAGCCTCCTCTCTCTGCCGTTTCGCCTGCTCCAAGACCACTTCGATTCTTGCCATTCGGTCGTCAACTCTTGCAGCAGTGGCTGCTTTTGTCAGAGCCGTCTCTTTCATGATTCCTGCAACAGCGGCTGACTCTGTCATAGCCGTCGCTCCATTGCCGACAGCATCGGGCGCCGCCAGGGATGCTGCCAGGTCTTGTTTTGACCCTTCGCGATCGTCGGCTGAGCCGGCGTCCGACGACGACCATGTCTCCGCTTCTCTCTCGGCTTGCTTCCTCTCTGAATACTCTCCGCCTGGGCCATCTTCTCCCCATTGAGCATTACTAGCTGCCCTATCGGTGGCAGTCCATGTCGGGCGCCTGGTACCATGTGGCACTGTAGTAAACTGTTTATCTGTCCGAATGCCCATCAACTCATCGGGCAGAATTATGATCATCATCATCAGCATCATCACCATCGCCACCATCATCAGCATCAGCATCAGCATCATCATCATCATCATCAGCATCATCATCACCACCATCACCGCCGTCATCATCATCATCATCCTCATCATCATCATCATCATCATCATCGTCGTCGTCGTCGTCGTCGTCGTCAAAATCATCATCGTCATCATGATTATCGTTATCATCAAATCAACAACAGCACATCATCAGCAGCAGCATCAGCATCATCATCGTCGTCCTCATCATCATCATCACCATCATCAGCATCAGCATCAGCATCATCATCACCATCATCAGCAACATCATCAGCATCATCATCGTCATCCTCATCATCATCATCAGCAGCAGCATCATCATCATCATCATCATCATCATCATCATCGTCATCATCATCATCATCATCATCATCATCATCATCATCATCATCATCATCATCATCATCATCATCATCATCATCATCATCATCGTCGGGAACATCATCCTCAGCAGCAGCCTCATCATCCATAGCATCACCAGACAAATGTGCATTATCATCACACTAATAGTATTCATACGAATCTGAATGATAGTAATCATCATCAGCATCACCAGCATCACCATCATCATCATCATCATCATCAGCATCATCATCAGCATCAGGATCGTCATCATCAGCATCATCGTCATCAGCATCATCATCACTATAATCATCATCGTCGTCATTGGAATCATCATCATTCTCATGACGAGCATCATCACCATCCTAACCATCATCATCATCACCACCATCAGCATAAACATCCAAAGCGTCATCGTCATCATCAATATGATCATCATCCTCACCACCATCATCACCATCCTCATCCACATCCGCATCCGCATTATCATCATCAACCTCATCATAGTCGTCATCATCATAATCATCATTATCATCATCGTCGTCACAATCATCATCGTCATCGTCATCGTTACTATCATCTGTATCATCATCATCAGCATCATCGTCGTCATCATCGACAACATCATCAGCCGCATCGGCGTCATCAGCCGCATCATCATCATCGTCATCGTCGTCATCATCATCCTCATCAACAGCAACAGCAGCAGTAGCATCAGCATCATCAGCAGCATCATCATCAGCATCATCAGCATAAGAATCATCTTAGTCAGAATCGGCATTGTCACCACCACTATCATCATCAGCAGCATCAGCAGCAACAGCATCAGCATCATAATCATTACCAATAACAACAACAACAACAACAACAACAACAACAACAACAACAACAACAACAACAACAGCATCATCCGCATCAGCCGCATCGTCATCGTGATCAGCATCATCATCAGCATCATCACAACCAGCCTAATCATCAGCATCGGTAACAGCATCATCAACATCAGCATGGTGGCATGCGTCATCATCAACAACAACCACAACAACAGCCACAACAACGGCAACAACAGCATCATCAGTATCATCATCATCATCATCAGCATCATCATCGTCTTAATCATCAGCATCAGCATTAACAGAATCCTCATCATCATCAGCATCATGATAATCGTCAACAGCAGCATCAGCCTCATCATCATCACCATCATCATCGTCGTCAGATTCATCAGCAGCAGCAGCATCATCATCATCATCATCATCAGCAGCATCATCATCATCGGATCCATCGTCCTCATCACGAACAACATCAGCACGGCCACGAATGTCACAATTCCCATCGACGGCGGTAACCATCATCAGCAGCAGCAACAGCATCATCATCACCAGCATCAGCGAATCACCGCCATCGTGATCGTCGTCAGCACCCATATTAGCATCATCATCGTCATCGTCATCACCAGCAGCATTATCATTATCATCGTCATCAGCAGCAGCATCATCATCACAACCATCATCATTATATATCATCATCAGCACCATCATCATCATCATCATCATCATCATCATCATCATCATCATCAGCACCATCATCATCATCATCATCAGCATGATCATCATCGTCGTCATCATCATCATCAGCAGCAGCATCAGCATCATCAGCAGCATCATCATCGGGAACATCATCCTCAGCAGCAGCCCCATCATCCTCAGCATTACCAGACGCATGTGCATGATCATCATCATCAGCATCATCATCACATCGTCATCATCGTCATCATCGTCATCATCGTTGTCATCATCATCCTCATCATCATCATCATCGTCATCATGACGAGCATCATCACCATCATAGCCATCATCATGATTATCACCATCATCATTAGCATCAACATCCTCAGCGTCATCGTCATCATCAATATGATCAGCATCCTCATCACCATCATCACCGTCCTCGTCCGCATCCGCATCCGCATCCGAATCATCATCAGCAGAATCATCATCACTGACATCGTCATCGTCGTCAGCAGCAGCAGCATCATCAGTACCATCATCAGATTCATCTTCATCAGCATTATCATTGGTGCAATCATCATCAGCATCATCAGCAGCATCATCATCAGCATCATCATCATCAGCATCGTCAGTATGGTCATCGTCGTCGTCCTGTCGTGTCCTGTCCTTTTCTGTGCTTTCCTGCCCTGTCATGTCCCTGTCCTGTCGTGTCCCTGCATCCCTCCTTCTCCAGAAAGGAGTGTGAACACCAAAATCGAACGAAAAGCACAAAAAGAAAACTCAGGGCCTCATCCTGCCACCCTCCCCCCCTCTGCTGCCTCTTCTCGCGGGCTGCGGCGAGGGCGGAGAGCCCCCCGGGGGGAGGCAGGGATTGTCGTGCTTGTCCTGGGGCTCAGATCGCACAGTCGATGTTCGAGAATCACAAAACCTAGGCCAGAAGAAGATCCCCCAGGAATATGAGACCCTCCGCCCTCCAAAACACACAGAAAATCCATGGGTACCCTCTCCAGGATGCACAAGAACATCCAACCAACAGAGACGAAGAACATTCTGGTACCCTCCCCGAACCGACCTCGATCTTGTACTTCGGTCCGACTGTACTGGACGATGCTCAAAAATCGAGATGCGTACAGTGCTTCATCCTTGGCTGCGGCGGGCTCACGTCGCGATGACGCGGGTGCTGGCCTCTGACACCGCGTGGATTGTTCAGCCTCCGACGGCCGCGGCCTCCCGATTAGGTGGCGACATCCGATCCCTACCCCCACCAACCGTCGATCCTCCCGAATCGATGGGAGGCGGGGGCAGGGTTCGGATTCCGCCACGTCCTCGACAGATTCCGAACCCTACCCCCGCCGCTCATCGAGTTGCCTGAATCCTTGATCGGCGAGGGTAAGGTTCGGATTTCGCCGCCGACCAAATGGCGCAGATCGCCTGGTGCCGGCCGTCACTGGGTCACCAGCGGCACTCAACCCTGAACGTCCCGCGCCCGGGACGACCAGCGGCGTCAACGCGACGCTAACCTGCCGTACTGCAGGTTCGCGTCGTGACGATTATTTCGGCGTTGACCTCTGGCGCTGCGCGCATCGCTCAGCCGTGAACGTCTCTGCGGCTTGTCGATCGTCAGAGCGTTCAAAATTGGCGGAGTCTGGACCACTGGCGGCGTGCAACCTTGAACGCCCGCGGAAGGGTCGGCGCCGCGTCGGCACGACGCCAACCTGCCGTACCCGCACGTGTTGCAGCACCCGATGCTCACCCCTGTCCTCCAAGACCGTCCACGGCGGGACCACAGCCGAAAACCGACCGAACCGACACAGAAACCGAAACCGACCGACTCCGACAGGCCGCAAGCTGCCCAGAGGGGCGCGGCGACGCGGCAACGACACGACAACCGGCCAAACCGAGTCGGCTGCGGCGCAGCCGAACCGACCGAACCGCGGCCACCCGGGTCCGAAGAGCTCGGCATGGCTCGGGCAGGGGTCGAGGCCTGCCCTCTGCCCCAGGCTCGAGGGCTCCAGGGCACTCCTCGAACACCCTCCGAGGTGTTCTGCTGCCGCGGGGGGCTGGCCTCGCGGAGAAAGCGAGCGAGGGCAGGGAGC